TCACACAACACTGGAGATTCAAAACCGATGGGGAGAGGGGTTGCGGAGAAAAGGAAGAAAGAGAAGAAAGAAAGAAAAGCAGGGGTGGGGGGAGAGGAGGAAGGAGGAAGAAAAACACAGAGGGAGGGAGGGGACTCTCTGACACTTCAGTGATTCACTGTATCACCCACTCAGATTCCCTGGACACGCTTTGCTTGGGCCAGGCCCCAGGTCCCACCACCCACCCTGCCCCCGCTACACCTCCCGCACTCACTCTTCACTCCAGAACCACATCCCAGAGGGACGTGTTCTCAGGAGGGATGCTAGAAACTTGCCCAGTTCCCAGATCTGTGTTCTTTCTGTATGAGAAAAGGGCTTATTTCTCCTCTGTTTCTCATCTGACTTATTCTTTTGATAAGCATCTTCAGGCTGGATATAGGCTGGTGGTGGCAGGGGATGGTGAGAGCAGAATAAAGGTACACTTCTGGTGGTAAGGCGGGACTAGGATTGTCAGGGAGTAAGACATGGGAAAAGGGCCCTGGTGTCTGTGGACTGGGCATGTCTTCGGCGCTCAGGACGAGCAGAGAGCAGGGTGCGGGGGGGGGGGGCTGCTCGCCGCTTCCTGGGCTCTCAGGCTCCTTTACTAAAGGTTTCACAAGCACGAAGTCATGCTGCAGGGTCCATGGCATCTGGCAGCCTCGGCTCCCGCTTTCACGCTGCTGCTGGGGCCCAATCGAACTGTCCTGAGGAAGTCAAAGTGGCTGCTGGGACACAAGATGACCTTCAATACGACAGTAGCACAAAGGTATCTATCTGCCTATTAGGCAGACATCCCCTCATCTGGTGTTGGCTCTCTCTTCCGGAAGGTGTTTTGGGAAAATAAAAGAGGAGAGGTTGATGGCATTGTTCCATGCTCTGTAGATGGGAAAACTCGGGCTTTTTACGCAGTAGGAAAACACTCCATTTGTTCCTGCCTAATACGGGGGAGGTCCCAGCTGGGTGTTTCTTTGCTGCAAACAGGCAAAGGATGGGAAAGGAACAGGAGTGTTCAGTTCTGTGAATTAAGGTCATTCGCTTTTGGAAGTCACCAAACCTGTCTTTCAAGGGACATCTCTCCAGCTCTCAGTCTCCTGGGCTGGCCTGCAGCCCTGAAGGGACTGGGCTTAGCTCCAAACCCTTTCAACCTGAGTGAAACCCTTAGGATGTCTCTTCCCATTTTCAGGGGCTGCTACCTGAAATCATCACGTGTTTGTGTTGGAAAAGATTCCTGCTGCCTTCCACCCTGGCCCAGGCTCCCCAGGGGCCGAGGAGGGGAAAAGCCGCTGATGTAATAACCCAGCTTGGGATTTGCTGCCATTTGCCACCAGGACAGGAGGAAGCCTGCACGCAGCCTCCCCTGCACAGCAATGCCACAGGGAGGCTGGGCAGAGCACCAGGGGACCCGCCGTTAGAACAGTCTGGAAAGTGAGGACCCGTGCTCTTCCCTAGTAAGCCACCTTGACAACACATGCCTAGTGGCTGTCAGGGGGCCTCTTGGTGCCTCTGTCTTTCTGTCTCAGTCTCTCACCAAGGAGCAGTTCCTGCTGGTCTCCGTTGTCAGGGCCTGGAGGGACCCGGGACCCATCTTCATCCAGGGATCCATGGGCTGTGTGCGATTCACCCTTAATCCTACACATCCGGGAAGCGGTTTCCTCTGGCCAAAGATAGGAGGAGACCCAGAGGATGGATGGGGGTAGGAGGGCAGGCAGAGAGGGCTCAGGCACACAGCAGAGGCTTTACTTTTAGGGGTAGGGGTGATATGTGGCCCCCAGACCCCACTGTCCCTGTCCCTGGGACCTGGCTGCCTGTTGCCCGGCAGACCCTCAATGCACTGTGTGCTGAGGTACTTGGGGAATCCAGAAAATCATTTTCCTTTACACAATGGAGGCTGTGTTATGTAAATGTAAAAATACAATAGGGGAGGAAGGTGAGCATAGTCAGCTCTATGGGAGAACAGCCAGAACAAGGGAGGTCTGCCCAGATTCCAGCTTTTGTTAAATTGCCGGCTTTCAAGGACTCGCTCCTCCCGCCTCCCACCTTCCCTTCCTCTCTCTCTCTCCCCATCCGCCACACACTCCGTGCCTCTTGGCCACGATAAGAATAAATAGCGTCCACACAGCGCTCACCCTGTGCCGGGTACAGGGCCAAGGGCTTTTCAGGACATTTGGCTCTCGAAACTCCCTGAGGGAGGTTCTGCTCCTTTGCATCATAGTCTCCTTCTCTCTCGTTGCCTCTGTCTACTACACGCACACACACACACACCCCTTACCTGGGGCTTCTCTCTCTCACACACACACCCCTTACCTGGGGCTTCTCTCTCTCTCACACACACACAC